GACTTAATAAGGTTGAGAGCCACAAGTAATCCCCTAAGCACTGTGCCGTGTAACCTAAGATTATCCCGCCTGCAAACACCTGTTTTCACTCCTTTGCTGAGAGCAGTATTAAAAGCCTGCTGGTTAATGATGGTAGGAACTGCCACGAGGTGGGATGCACAGGCATTTGTCCCATCTTGGAAGCATCTCCAAGGTTGAGCCCAGCTGCACATGCCCATGAGCAAGGATGAGGAAGGACTGGAAGGGCTCATCCAAGTTTCCCTCCCTATACAGTCATCAGGACCAAGCCGGGAAGCTTGAAGGTCAGGGCCAGGGTCGCGGGGGTTCTTGGGTTAGCACAGCTGCTCACTTCTTAGTGATGGACAGTGGGTCAGTCCTTAAACTCCCTGATCCACAGTTTCCACATCTTGGGAGGGAGGCAGGATAACACCTATTCTGCTCTCTACGTACGAGGTAGTCCTGAAGACCTAGGTTGATAGGCGTAACACTGCACACCAGGCCAACACCACATCCTGGAAGACGGGAGCTGGGTTGATGTAGACTCTTTTGAGAAACACAGCCGGTGCCAGCCCTGTGAAACTGACCAATCATGTTCTAATCATTTAGAACTGCAAGTCTCCGCGTCGGGTGGCACAGAGGATGTTGGCAATTTGTTGGAGAATCATTTCTCTGCTGGAGACGCAAGTCTAGAGGAGAAAGAAAGGGCGCTTTATGCAGACACAGCCCCTCAAGACAAGAAACTGCTCCTTCACTGCCCAGATGGCAGGGAGGCCGAGAGCCCCGAGAAGACCCCCGTGTCTGCCCCCGGCCCGGGCTCCGATCCTGAAGCCAGCCTTTCCAATGCCTCAGCCACAGAGTCACCTCCACCTGGGGAAAAGGACAACAGGGACTCTGCGGGGCCTGGGGAGAAAAAGAATGGCCCACCAGTGGCAAGCGCCCTCCCTCCAGGAGGGGCCGAGGGGCCTGTGGAAGAGGAGTGGCCGGAGCCCAGTTCTGGAGAGGGAATAGCAGAGGAGGAGACTGGGCTTGGGCTCCCCACGGAGGGAGCTGCCAGTGGAGAGGCAGGAGAACAGGCTGGGGGCCATGAACTCCCTGAGGAAGTCCAGGAGGTCCCAGGGGACAGCCCGGTGCAGGAAGCAATGGCAGGGACAGCAGAGCCAGAGGCAGAGGGGGCCTCTCCTCGCTCAGAGGGTGATGGGTTCCACTCACTGAACACAGAGGCCGAGGGCAGCCCTGGGCCTGGCCAGGAGCCTGCAGTGCCAGAGGGAGCCCCTGATGTCGCGACTATTGTGCGAGAGTCGGAGCCGGATATTGACACAGAAGCCAGTGAGGGCACCGAGGACCAGGGGGAGCCCGGCCCAGCTGCAGAGGCCAGTACAGAGCCTGGGGGCACCCAGAGCGCCAAGGCAGGGGACACTGAGGAGAACCAGGCCCCAGAGATGACCGAGGAGGACGCAGATGAGGCCTCCTCTGAAGAGGAAAGTGGCGATGGAGGTGAAAGCGAGGAAGAAGGAGGAGTTCCCTCTGAAGAGGAGTCTGAAGAGGACAGCGGCGATGGGGCTAGCTCAGAAGAAGCAGAGGGCACCTCTGAGGAGGCCACGCAGACCCAGGAGGCCGAGGAGCCCCAGGAAGCCAGGGAACCCCAGGAAGGCAGGGATCTCCCAGAAGCCGAGGAGCCCCAGAAAGGTGGAGCGCCACAGGAAAGTGGGGAGCCCCAGGAAGCTGGGGAGCCCCATGAAGGTGGAGATCTCCAGGAAGTCGGGGAGCCCCACGAAGGCGGAGATCTCCAGGAAGCTGGGGAGCCCCAGGAAGGCGGGGAGCTTCAGGAAGCCACAGAAACCACAAGCCACAGGGACAGAGGGGCCCAGCCTGGCTCGGAGGAATTGAATACGGAGTCCGTGGACAGTGAGACCCTGGACATGAAGGCAGAGGAGCCCGAGGAGGGACATCAGGGGAGGGAGAGTCCCATCATTGCTGCCCAGGGTAGGAATTAATTCCCTAATAGCAACCCCGTCCCTTGGGCAGCTGCATTCTCCCTGGAAGTCTTGTGTGCAGGGGACAGGCAGGGACAGAAGAAGGTGGCAGAGGGTGGCAGGCCCTTTTCACGGTCCCGGCCCAGGGAGGTGCCTTCAGGCTGTGCATTGGCTGCTGGCCTCCAGTTTGAAAGGGGCAGTGAGAGGGGTCAGAGGGGCCCCCAGAACCTCCCTTTAGGGTCCCTGATGCGCCGTAGCCCATGCCATTGCCTCAACCTAAAGGAGCAGGGAGCTAATGGCGTGATCGGTGCCCTGTGATTGGCGGGTGGAGGGACATGCAGGGAATGGAAGGGGGTGGGTTGGGAACTTCCCTGATGATTCCCTTAGTGGGCTAGGACTGGGGTCTCCCCTTGAAGACTAGGCTGTAGGAAGCATTGCAGAACCAGGACCGAGGGGTCAGGATCATGAGATGAGAACTCAGGCTGTGACCACCATTGTCTCTCAAATGCCCACCTAAAGCCGCCAAGGCTGCCCTCAAAAGGCTAGGGGCCAGGAGCAGAGGGGGAAGGGCAGGGCCGAAGCTCTCGGGCAGTGTGAGAATTGCAGCCGATGCGAGGGTCGGTCAGGCGCCTTCATGGCTGCATCTGCTTAGTACATGGACTTAGACCAGGAACGGGGCTTTCAGGGTAGAGGTCAAGGTCAAGTCTTCACTCTCCAAGATGGCTTCCCCACAGGCTTTGTTGCACAATTCATTTACATCCTTTTTTCTTTTTCTTTTTTTTTTGACAGGGTCTTGCTCTGTCACCCAGCCTGGGGTGCAGTCGTGCAACCATAGCTCACTGCAGCTTCTAACTCCTGGGCTCAAGTGCTCAAGCGATCCTCCCACCTCAGCCTCCTGAGTAGCTGGGACTACAGACATGCACTATCACGCTTGGCAATTTTTTTTTTTTTTGAGACAGTCTCGCTCTATCGCCCAGGCTGTAGTGCAGTGGCGCGATCTCAACTCACTGCAAGCTCTGCCTCCCGAGTTCACGCCATTCTCCTGCCTCAGCCTCCTGAATAGCTGGGCATGCCACCATGCCCAGCTAATTTTTTTTGTATTTTTAGTAGAGACGGGGTTTCACCATATTAGCCAGGATAGTCTCGATCTGACCTCATGATCCGCCCACCTTGGCCTCCCAAAGTGCTGGGATTACAGGCTTGAGCCACCACTCCCAGTCAATTTATATACTATCTACATACTATTTATATACTACCTGTCAGGAATTGTACTCCATAAGGGCGGGTGTGTGCTGTGGTCAGTCAGCTCCCTATTCTGGGTCTGGGGTTGGGGCTGCCTGGGACTGGTTTAAAGAGTCACTGTCATGAGATGCTGCAAGAGGCACATGGTTGGTTCTCACCCCTAGTGGAGCTGGCTTCCTTCTGCCCCATAAGGCCCGAGTGCACCCCTCTTCTACTCGCCTAAAATCCTCTGTGCAGGCAGCCTGGGAAGAAGCAGCTGTGATATCATAGGCTCAGGAACGGGAGCCTCCCTCTCCCTGGGAGCCTGCAGCAGGCACCCACATCACTTGATCTCTGGGTGAGAAGCAACAGTTGCTCCCCTCAACACACACACACACACACACACACACACACACACACACAGATCCACAGACAGACGGACACACAGATCCACAGATACAGACAACAGAGAGACACAGACAGAAATATACACACAGATACAGAGATACAGACACACAGAGGCACACACAGATACACAGACACACACACAGATACACAGATACAACAGAGAGACACAGACACAGAAATATACACACAGATACAGAGATACAGACACACAGAGACAGACACAGATACACAGACACACACACAGATCCAGAAATATACACACAGATACATAGATACAGAGACACACAGAGACAGACACAGATACACAGACACACACACAGATCCACAGATACAGACAACAGAGAGACACAGACACAGAAATATACACACAGATACAGAGATACAGACACACAGCAACACAGAAACACACAGAGACACACACACGTAGATACACACAGACTCACACAGATACAGAGATACAGAAACAGACACACAGAAACAGACCCACATATGCAACACAGACATGCACAGGCATACACAGACACAGAGACACACAGACACAGAGATCTACACAGAGACACATCGAAACGCAGACACCGAGACAGACACAACACACACACAGACACACACACACCCTTCAGTGGCCCTCCCAGCCGTCCTTCCCACACGGCCAGTGTGATCCTGATGAAATGCTCATGTGGCCTCGGCGGCTGCCTGCCTGGAGCCCCTCACTGGCTCCCATTGCGCTTGGGATGAGACCCAAAGCCCTGTGGAAGGTCCTGCCCGGTCAGCCCTGAGGACCTCAGCAGCTCCCCAGCACTTAGGCCTCCCTGACTGCAGCCGGACTCCCCTTCTCCTGCTTCTTGCTAAACAAGGCTCGTCTGGGGCTTTCGCAGAACGCTTCTCTCCACCCTTCACCTAACTCCCTCCCCCAGCAGAGACCTGGGGAGGCTTTCTGTGACCCTGCTGCTGAGACCACTGGTGCAGGCACACCCTGAGCCCCACTTAGCTTTCAGAATGTTTCCTTCTGTGGCCACCTCATCATCTGTAATAATTACATTTTATTATTATTATTTTTATTATTTTTGAGACAGGGTCTCCCTCTTTTGCCCAGGCTGGAGTTCAAGCCAAAAGGCATTCTCCTACCCACCCCCAAAGCCTCCAGAGATGTTTGATGTTTTAATTTTTTGAGACAGGGTCTTGTTCTGTGACCTAGGCTGGAGTGCCGTGGGGTGATCATGGCTCACTACAGCCTTGACCTCCTGAGTTGAGAGAATCCTCCTGTCTCAGCTTCCTGAGCTGAGACTATGGGTGTGTACCACTGCCTGGAAAATTTTTTTTGGTAGAGATGGGGTCTTGCTGTGTTGCCCAGGCTGGTCTCAAACTTTTGGGCTCAAGTGATCCTTCCATCTCGGCCTCCTAAAGTGCTGGGATTACAGGTGTAAGCCACTGCACTCGGCCCCAACGTTACTTTAAAGACTATCATCTCTGACTCCGCTGGACTAAGAGCAACTGCCTAAGGGCAGGAGTTGTGCCTGTTTTGGGCACCACCGCATTCCCAGCATGATGCTCAGTGCCTGGCGTGGCGAAGGTGTTCAATGCATATTTGTTGAATATATGAAATAAATAGATAAGAAGGTTTCTGCAGGTTGAGATGTGGACCAGCTTCCCGAATGTGAACACATTGCACATGGAGCTTCATAGAGTTTGGATGATTAAATTCCTTCCTAAAGGCAGAACTCAGTCCAGTGTAACTTGGCAAGACCCCGCTGAGCCCCTGCTCGAGGTCCAGCCTTCGTCTGCCTCGCCGGGGCACAGAGCTCAGCTGGCTGTTCGCTTGGCCCTCACCTGGCTGTCTGCTTCTCTCCACAGAAGAGACGGAGGATGCAAATGAAGAAGCCCCACTGAGGGACCGCTCCCACATCGAGAAGACCCTCATGCTGAATGAGGACAAGCCATCTGATGACTACTCTGGTAAGCAGGGGAGGGAGATGTGCCCAGGGCTGGGAAAGCCCAGCCCGCCAGGGCCCAGGCAGACTCCTGGAGGCTCCTGAGAGCCAGGGCACGCTGGGGCTGTATCTTGGAGGCCAGAGGGAACGTTGGGGAAGAGGAGAGCCCTGAAGGTGGGAGGCTTCGTGGAGGAGGCCCTGTGAGCGAGGTCCAAGCCTCGGGATTTCAGGTGGGCACAGAGGAGGAAGGGCCGTCCAAGCAGACGGCCCAGTGTGGGCGAATCCAGTGTGGCCCCATGCTGTGCGGGGAGGACGCTTAACACACACCCATCTCCTTTGCTGTGATTTTTAGTTTATAAAGCCGTGTCATGTGTGGTATTTCATTTTATCTTTGAAACCCAAGGACTGCAGCAGGGTTTGTCTCCTCTTAATCAGTGAACCACCTAACTGGAGCTCAGGCTG